TAAGAGGTGCAGTAATGGCGGGGGGCGGGACGAAAAGGGGCGTGGCCATGCGGGCGTGGCGGAGGCGGGGCGAAAAGGGCGTGGTCAAGCAAGCGTATTAGGGGCGGGGCGACGAAGGCGTGGCCTGTAGGCGCGGGGGTGGTAGCGGAGCGATGAGGGCTGAATAAATTTCTGAATGAATTTTTCTAGAATTAAAACGACCAGAAAAGAATGAGATAAAAGGACAAAAACAAAATAAAAAGTTAAAATTGCAAAGGCTATTGAAAGTTTTATGATCAATAATTTTTTTTTTTAAATGGAATTTCCGTATGGTATTTCATTGAATTTTTATGTCTTTTTTTCTTGCTTAACAAAAAAAAAAAAAAAAAAAATGAGAACAAAAAAATATGATAGGAAAGAAAAAAGAAAAAAAAAACCTAAAATTACAAAAAAAAAAATCATGTTTGCTATCTGTTTTGATGATAATAAATTGAATAACTCAGTGATTAAATTAAATTATGAAATAATTTTTATTTTTAGTTGCAATATAATATAGAATAAAAGAATCAATTAAACTATTTAGTACCTAAATTAGATTAGTTAAAAAAAATCAGCGAAACAAAAAATATTCATTTAAAAATGATGAAATTAATGAAATTGAAAAAATATTTTTTCTTTTTTAAGAAAAACTAATTTTCTTTTAAAGTTTCAAAGAATTTGGTAAATATTGTTACTGTTATTGTTATTATTGCTACCTTTCAAATTTAACTACTAATATATGTCATACCTTTTTTTTCTTTTTTTTTTTCAAAATTTGTCTACTTAAATTACTATACTTTTTTTTTTGGTGATATTTAAATGGTTATGCTTTATTTAAATTTATTCTAGCATGTGGAATTCTAGCATGTTTAAGGATATTTATTTGGTATTATTTAATTTAGAATATTTGGAATGTAATATTGTTTATCTTGTATAATAGCTCAAATATTTTAGAAAAAGTAATAAAATTAATGAAATTGAAAAAATATTTTTTCTTTTTTAAGAAAAACTAATTTTCTTTTAAAGTTTCAAAGAATTTGGTAAATATTGTTACTGTTATTGTTATTATTGCTACCTTTCAAATTTAACTACTAATATATGTCATACCTTTTTTTTCTTTTTTTTTTTCAAAATTTGTCTACTTAAATTACTATACTTTTTTTTTTTGGTGATATTTAAATGGTTATGCTTTATTTAAATTTATTCTAGCATGTGGAATTCTAGCATGTTTAAGGATATCTATTTGGTATTATTTAATTTAGAATATTTGGAATGTAATATTGTTTATCTTGTATAATAGCTCAAATATTTTAGAAAAAGTAATAAATTTTGATTTTCTAGCTGAAGTTTTTTTGGGAAAATTGTTCTGGGAAGTATAATAATTATAAAATAAATAAATGTATCGAATATGATATATGTTGAAATGGAATCAAACTATTATATATGTTGATTGAAATGGAATCAAACTAAAAAAAAACTTTTGTATTGATTGAAATAATTGTATAAAAGTAATGTGACATAACTAATAAAATGAATTGTTCTCTTTTTCCTAATTTCAAATTTTAATTTAATATGATAATTAATTTTGTTTGCTATTTATATGTCAATGATATATTATTTCATTTGATTTTTCATTATAATAGGATAATTTTTGTGATATGAAATTACATTATAATACAGTTATACATCTTCTTTTCTTTCTTTTTTCAAAAAAAAAAAAGTTCTTATGAAAATTTGAAATTTTATGAATTGATAAAATATGTAAGAAAATAAGTTTTTTTTTTTTTTTTTTTTTTTTTTAGCACAAGTGATAAAAATTATTTTGAAAATTTTAAGTCGGAAAAATTTGAAATGTTTGTGAATATTTTTTGTCACTTTTGTAACTGATTGAAACACACTGATAATAATAAATCAATTTTCAAATCGATTTATGAGATAAAAAAAAAAAAAAGAATTATTTGTTGCACATAAGATTGATTTATTATTATCAAATAGATTAATTGATTTAATGGATGGGAAATGATTAAATTTTAGGAAAAAAAACTGTGAAAGACAAAGAATGAAATTAATAGAATTAAATTGTTGGTTGTTTATGATAATAAAAATTAATTTGAAAATAAATGAATGATTTAGCTAAGATGTTCAGATCAATCTTATAAAAGTTCATTTTGATATATCTTATCAGCTAAACAATTGAAATGTGTTATTTATCAATTAGCTGTGTGATCAGCGTAAGAGCGTTTAAGAAAAAAAAAATTGATAAATTAACAAATCATTAAAAGTGCTTTCATTTGAATGCAAATGAATTTAGGAAAGGAGAAATTGTCACAAAAATGTCACACTGATTATAACTGATAGAATATTGATATTATAAAAATAATTTAACATTTAATATCCTTAATCTACTTAAATTACATTGATATTGTGATATGATAATATTGGTAAATTATTTACACTGATTTGATAATATTGATTAAATCAGTTGAATCAATTAATGCTTTTAAAGAATGCGGCATTGATCATTTAATGATTTAATGAGCAAAAAAAAAAAAAAAATTATATTAAATTTCTCATAATTTCATTCAGTTTAACAGCAAATGTTTTGAATCTAATAGATTTAATCAATAATAATTAGGATTCTATAGCAGTTTTACTAGTTATCAATTAATTAGTTATTTTTAAAAGTTATCAAATATAGTTCTGATAATAACTTCATATTATCACGAATCAATTATTCTAAAAAAAGATTTGAGCGCAAAATTAAAATTATAAATTCAAATATAAGCATAAAACTGCTGAAATTGTTAAAATATGCATAAATTACGTAAAACTGATAGCTGTAATTATTTGAAACTATTAAAACTGAATGGAATTTTTTAAATAATAAACTTTTCTTAATTAAATGAAAAAATTAATTTGACAAAAATATAATTTAAGCTAAAAATATAAATATAAAATTCTGCTTTTGAAACTTAGGTAACATTAGATGAAAAATTTAACACTTATTGGCTTGGCTAGTAGAGATATGATAACAGTTTATATCAATTATAAATTTATCACTAAAGTCAAATTTTTTATATCAGATTGCAAAAATTATAAAAATTTTTCTCGAGAAATATATCAATCGGTAAAGCTTATTTAATTAAATTAAGCTACAAAAATCTAGCAAAACAAAAATTTTAAGTTATTTTAAAATAAAAATAGGTGTAAGAAAATGTTAAATTTGAAATTTTGCAATCATTTAGCTTTCAGCATGAAGGTAATATGTAAGCTTAATTGCTAAACTTTTTGATTTTGATTAAAGTAATATATAATAAATTAAAGTAATATATAATCAATTTTTTGATTTTGATTAAAGTAATACTTAATAAATTTTTTTTTTAATTAAAGTAATATTAAAAACTATTTCAAAAATTATTGGTATTAAAATTGAAAAGATTATAAATTCAAACCACATGTAAATTCTTGATAGGATTTTTATCCTGAAATTAATTATAAATATGTTTTGAAATTTGCTCATTTTTATAACAAATAATCTTTGCTTTTTCAAAATTTCTCAAATTTTGAAGGAACTACAACTATTACCAATTTCAGGATTTAAAAAAAAAAAATAAGTGACAAAATTTGTTATTTCATACTCGAGGAATTTTATAAGAAAAATTTAATTATTATTATTAATTATCAATTTATTTTCAGTGTTCAATTGTTATTTTATGATTAGTTTTTTTTTTTTTTTTTTTTGCGACAAAGAAAATTTTGTCAAATAATTGAACATTTGTCCACAAAATTGTTATTAGCTTTATTGGATAGTTAAAACAATCATTTTTGATTTGTCTAAAATGATCGTGATTTGATTCTAAATGATTGCAGTTATTTTGATCAATTAGCTATGATCAATGCTTTTTTTTTTTTTGAACTGATTATTATTCAATGATAATTTTCCTAAATGTAAAGAAAAAAAAAAGGACGAAAATGAATTGCTTTTTGATCATTTATTAGTTGCATTGATTGCCATTGATTAGCATATATTATCTGAAATATGAGCTAATATTCGATTACTTAAAATTGAATTGCAAATTCAAGAATCAAATATTGCTAATAATTGAAAATAGCAATGACTAAATTTATAAGTAACATAATTTTTACTTTTTTTTTTTACTAATTTTTTACTTTATTACTTTTTCTAAAATATTTGAGCTATTATACAATGCAAGATAAACAATATTACATTCCAAATATTCTAAATTAAATATTAGCAAATAGATGTCCTTAAACATGCTAGAATTCCACATGCTAGAATAAATTTAAATAAAGCATAACCATTTAAATATCACCAAAAAAAAAGTATAGCAATTTAAGTAGACAAATTTTGAAAAAAAAAAGAAAAAAAGGTATGACATATATTAGTAGTTAAATTTGAAAGGTAGCAATAATAACAATAACAGTAACAATATTTACCAAATTCTTTGAAACTTTAAAAGAAAATTAGTTTTTCTTAAAAAAGAAAAAATATTTTTTCAATTTCATTAATTTCATCATTTTTAAATGAATATTTTTTGTTTCGCTGATTTTTTTAACTAATCTAATTTAGATACTAAATAGTTTAATTGATTCTTTTATTCTATATTATATTGCAACTAAAAAATAAAAAATTATTTCATAATTTTATTTAATCACTGAGTTGTTTAATTTATTATCATCAAAACAGATAGCAAACATGATTTTTTTTTTGTTTCGAATTAATTGTATAATTATTTCATATAATTTTTGTAATTTTATAAAATTTCATCTTGAACTAATCAATTGATTTTATAAATAGAAATTAATGAAATAGCATTACCGAAAAAAAAATAAAATAATTATAAATTGGTTAAATTACAAAATTACAATTTAGAAATAATTATAAATTTAAGCAAAAAAAAAGAAGAACTAGACAGATGAATAATAACAATAATGGTAATGAGATAATGATAATAATGCTAATGATAATACCGTATCCCTATTACCGTATTATTACCGTACCTCTTATTACCGTACCTCTTATCACTGCACCTCTTATCACCGAAACTCTTATCACTGCACCTTTTATTACTGTACCTCTTATCACTGCACCTCTTATCATCGAAACTCTTATCACTGCACCTTTTATCACTGTACCTCTTATCGCCGTACCTCTTATCACTGCACCTCTTACCACTGTACCTCTTATCACCTTACGTCTTATCACTGCACCTCTTATCACTGTACCTCTTATCACCGCACCGTTATAGAAATTTAAAATCAAAAAAAAAAAAGGAAGAGCTAAACAGATAAATAATAACGATGATAATAATGAGATAAGTAATGATAATAATGATAACGATGATAATAATGAGATAAGTGATGATAATAATGATAATAATAATGAGACATTTTTGTCTTTATAGATTCTACAATTAGCTAAGAAATGATAATACTAGATTAGAGCTAATAATAATAACAAATGACATTAATAAATAGTAATAATAATAATAATAATAATAATAATAATAATAATAATAATAATAATAATAATAATAATAATAATAAATAATAAAAATAATAATAACAATAATAATAATAAATAATAATATTAATAACAAAAAATGATAATAATAATAATAATTTATAGGAAATAAACGAATTAATGACTGAATTGAATGAATGAATGAGTGGATGAATGGAATGGAATGGAATTGAATGGGACCGAATGAAATTGAACGGAACTGAATGGGACTGAATAGAGCTGAATAGGACTGAACGGGACTGAATGGAATTGAATGGAACTGAATGGAATTGAATGGAATTGAATGGAACTGAATGGAACTGAGTGGAATTGAATTGAATTGAGTGAGTGTATAAATTTATTTAATGAATGAATATATATACATAGATTTATTTAATATAATATTTAAATTAATGTAAATTGTAAAATATAAAATATTAATAATATTAAAAAATAATAATAATAGTAAAATAATAATAGTAAATAATAATATTAATAATAACAATAATAAATAATAAATTAATAATAATAATAATTTATATGAAATAGACGAATGAATGACTGAAGTTAATGAACGAATGAATGAAACAAATAAAGGAATAACAAATAAACGATAGAGCAAAACAATCGATCAAATTGTAACATTGAAAAACTGAATGAACAATTTTATTGAATGAAAATATTTATTTCATTATAAATATATAAAATAAATATATAAATTTATTTAATATAATATTTAAATTGGTTTCAACTGTAAAATAAAAATTTTAGGAAATGCTTGATATATGTGCTAAATTAATTTCATTTTTTAGCCAAACAAAATTTCAATGTTATTTTACTTATTACTATTTTTTGTCATTTATAAATATTATTAATGATTAATTATCCAATGTAAAAATGACAGATAAGTAAAGTAAATTGTATTATATATAATTTTATGCAAATACAATCAATAAATACGATTGTAATAAAACTTTTTTTTTGAAATAAATAAATATTTTTGCTTTATTCAATTGTTTAATAATTTGAACTGTTTTTTAACTTTATCTATGATAAACACATAAATAAATATTTTTCAAATGTTTATTTCAATTCATTATATTTTGCCTAAATAATTAATCATACTAATATTACAAAAATAACTAAAAAAAACAAGAAAAATAACATTAAAAAAAAAAACTACTAAAACAGCAACATGATAAAACCCACGAAATAAAGAAAACAAACGAAACAATCCACCAAAAAAAATAATTAAAACCTAAAATAAAAACATCAATAGCATTACCGAAAAAAAAATAAAATAATTATAAATTGGTTAAATTACAAAATTACAAATTTAAGCAAAAAAAAAAAAAAAAAAAAAAAAGAAGAACTAGACAGATGAATAATAACAATAATGGTAACGAGATAATGATAATAATTCTAATGATAATACCGTATCCCTATTACCGTATTATTACCGTACCTCTCATTATCGTACCTCTTATCACTGCACCTCTTATCACCGTACCTCTTATCACTGCACCTCTTATCACTGTACCTCGTATCAAAAAAAATAAAATAAAAATAGGTGTAAGAAAATGTTAAATTTGAAATTTTGCAATCATTTAGCTTTCAGCATGAAGGTAATATGTAAGCTTAATTGCTAAACTTTTTGATTTTGATTAAAGTAATATATAATAAATTAAAGTAATATATAATCAATTTTTTGATTTTGATTAAAGTAATACTTAATAAATTTTTTTTTTTTAATTAAAGTAATATTTAATAAATTTTTCTTTTTTGATTAAAGTAATATGTAATGTATTTATCATAATGATAATGGGTTATTTTAATTATGAGCACTATTTTTTTTTTTGTTTTGAATTAATTGTATAATTATTTCATATAATTTTTGTAATTTTATAAAATTTCATCTTGAACTAATCAATTGATTTTATAAATAGAAAATTAATGAAATAGCATTACGAAAAAAAAAAATAAAATAATTAAATAAAATAATTGGTTAAATTACAAATTAGAAATAATTACAAATTTAAGCAAAAAAAAAAAAGAACTAGACAGATGAATAATAACAATAATGGTAATGAGATAATGATAATAATGATAATGATAATGAGGCATCTTTGTCTTCCTAGATTTTATAATTAACTAATTAAAAAAAAAATTATAATTAATTAGAAATGACAATTATTAGTATGAATTGCTACTAAATTAGACTGTAATAATATTGAAAAATGAATTGCTAATATTAAATAAATAAATAAATTAAAAAACTATATAATTTTCATTAAATTTGCTAAAAAAAATGTATAACGGAATGTGTAGTTTAATTCAATAATTTCACACTTATATTAAAAATGCAAATAATTATTTACAAACATTTTAGTGACATTTGGATAGATTACACTTCACTTTTGATACGTATTGTCGCAGCACGGATTGGCGAAGTTGTAATGTAGTGAACAAAGGCTATTGTTCTAAGTGATTTTGATCTACTTTGTAACCTTAGCATCCATAAAATTCCTACCAATTTTCTTCCTCACAAAGTCATTTATTATAATTCTTTGTTTGGTATAGTTCGATTGCGAGATGCTTGCTTATATCTTTGAATGTTTTATAATTAATTTATATTTGTGTGTTATGTATCAATTCATTATTGTAATGTTGTATAATTTTTAATGTTAATGTGTGGTTTGGTTTAATTATCCAAATTTGAGATTTGAATAATAAAGTATTTCACGAAGACTGTCATAGTACACGTGTCACAGAACAGAACCAGTACAGATTCGAGAATCTACCATTTATCGAGGATAAAAAAGTCAACGATCTGAACTATCAAGAAAGGAAACTTACTTTGTTTCACAAGAAAACAGGACAGTAAGAAAGAAATTCTAAATTTGCTTTTACACGTGTACTGCCACGTTAATACCATCAACAAAAAGTTACTGACAGTTGTAATTACTATTGATAAACATTTATTATCAATTTATAATCATATTTTAAATTCGTTGTAATATTTACAATTTAATTAATTTCATGGATACATTTCATATCATAAAAAAAAAGAAAAGACAAAGTAATTTAAAACTCTTCAACAATTTCCTCTTTACTTAATAAATAAATTTGTTAAGAATATCATTTATAAAATTTACTAAATCAAAATTCATTTTTCAGTCATTAAATTTTAAATTAGTTATAAGTGAAATTCATCAACTCTCATAATTAGTATTGTATAATTATTTAAATATAGAAAAAAAAAAACAATTCTAATTGGTGCTAAATTGGGTTATAAAGAAATCGCATTTCAAATATTTAACAAAAAATAACAAAATTTTTTGCATGATGTAGTTGATCAAATTAATTAGATTATTTCATTTTAATTATTTCATCAAATGATAAACACGTAGCATTTATGTTTGTTTTTTATTGTAACTAACTGTTACTGAAATTTTTAATTTGAATTTATATTATTATTGAGAATTTTAATTTTAATATTATCTCTTTCTTTTTAATGCTTTATCGCTTGTCAGTAATAACTAATAATTCACTATCTCAAATTAATTAAATATTAACTGTGTATGTATTATTAATATCATTTCTAATGAAATTAAATGAAATTTACAATCAAATATTTATTATTGCTTATAAAGCAATATGAAATAAATCTTTCAACAATTTTTTTTTTTTTTTTTTTAATTTCATTGTTAAAAGGAATTTTTAATTTAGTATTAACCATTAATAAGTTTTATAAATTTACAATTTAAAATTTTTAGTATTACAAATATATTTTAGCAAACTAATGTGTTTAGTTTACGAAAACTTTTCTTAATGTTTTAAATTTTGTTTAAAATTCTTTGTTGCACTTTACTCATTCTCTCTCATACTATTCATCATTTACTAATATGAAAATTTGAAATTTGTTTCAAAATGTTTAACTAAGCGCTTTTCATTTTACCAAATGCGCTAATTAATATTCGACAAAGGCTAACTTTTTGTAACAATCATTATTCATCCATTATATATTATAATTAAACTTTAAATTTCAATTGTTCATTTATTTTAATCTTTCCTTCATTAAATAAAAATTATATTAAAATTTAATTCATTGATATTTATATTCATTTTAATTTAATTTATTATTTCAAAACTCTTTTATTATTATTTTTTTTTATTCTAAATGAATAAAATACTTCAAATAACTACATTTGAAATCATTTATGAAATTAAAAAGTTAAATATAACTTATATTCCTTATTTCAAGCATTATATTTTTATTCATTACAATTATATCTATAAGATTTCTTCGACTAAAGTAAATTTTTCGAATATCTTTTAAAATTTTATTTTAATTTATAATGCATAATTATATTCTAATTAATCTTATGTTTTTTTTTTGCCAAATTTTTTTCTTTTTAATTAACTTTAATTTAAAAAAAAAAGCCAGAAAACGATCACATAATAATTTTATATTGTTTACAAAAAATTGAATTAAAGTCTTCCGGTTAAAACATTTTTTAGTTTTTTTTTCGTTTTAATTTAGATTTTTTTCATTTAATTTTTCTTTTCTACTAGCACAAATCATTTTTTAAGCATTTTGCTATACTATTGCCAGCGATTAACAAATAAAGTTTTTAAGTTTTTCTTTCAATCATTTGTTAGTTAAATTTGATTAATTTTCTTGTTAAATGCATACTTTTCAAATGAATCATTTGCATTTGCTGTAATCGCAAATATTTGCTGATT